CTGTGAATGTGTTTCAGACTGCAGGAATTCAGAGGTTATTAATAAATATGCTGGAACTGACGAGTTTTGGTTTCATGCCAGTTTTGAAATAAAAACTGTAAAAATAAACCAAAGAACCAAGTTTTGTCTGTTTTCTGTTTATTTTCTTTTTCTCCTTGTAGCACATGCAGAGCAAATAACCTCGGAGTCCATGTTGCAGTGAAATATTAGAAGAAAGCAGCAGGTGAAAATGGGTTTATTAGATTACTCTGTTGGCTGAGTCGTCGCTTTTGTTTGTTTTTTATCCTCTGACAATATCCTGTCACAGTTTGATATCAGCTCCTCTCTATCTGCTCAGATCTGTTTATATGAGGGCAGCTGACATCAAGTTCATTTCCAGGCAAACATATTGTCCAAGTGTTGACAGGAGGGTTTATTCCTCCTCCATTTTGTTCTGGTTGAGCTCTCCGCCTTGCCTGATAGCGCCACGGCACAGTAAACATCATCAAAACAGAAAAACCAAAAATTAAAGGCAGGCTCCATTAAACAGACATGTGGTTCAGCTTAACTTCACTGCTCAGGTCTTTAAAGTAAAGATTTTGCTCTTTTCACCTGGGCTCGTTTCAGTACCTCCGCTGGTCCTGATCACTCTTCAAGTAATAAAGATTTTCATTCCACTCTCCCTGTCTGCAGCTGCCTCCCTCACAATTTCCATCAACATTTCTCACAGCTCAGCCTCACACCGTCTGCAATATTGGCACTCCCCCACATCTTCACTCCAAGGTTAATGCAGCCCATCAGTCTAGTGGAGCCTCTTGCTGCTGCAGGCCCAGAGGCATGGAGGAACATCCAGCTGATGCAGGTTTATTAAAAAACTGATCCCATTTAATCCTAATGGCTAACACATTGATGAGCAAATATACATGTTCATTTCAATACATTTTAATTTCATTGAAAAGTTCATTTATTTCAATAATTCAACTCAAACATTAAACTTTTAAACAGTGATATAAAGTATTTTTAATGTTTTATGGCTTAATGTTAATGAAATTCTACAATTTGGTTTCTCAGAAAAAGTGGACATTATATCAGATGCATAAAAAATATTTCTAATGCAGACATGTTGGCTTTATTGAAACTGTGTGCATGTACATAGAGAAGAGAGAAAAGACTGTCCTTTAACAAGAAGAAACCTCCAGCAGAACCAGAACCTGAGCGGCCGTCTAACTGGAGCAGAGACACAAAACAGAAACCAAAGTACTGGTCCAGGATCAGTGTTCAGGAAAAGGACAAAGTTAATGGCAGTAGCAGAGGCTGTAGCAGCTTTATCTAGGATAGAAAAACATCTTAAAGCTCTGAGCCGGTTTTACAAGCCTAAAGGATGACAGAGCAAAAGAGAGTTTGTCTTGATAAAAGTTCAGCTGGTAGCTTTGACTGGTGGATTATACTGGTGTGAACTTCTGTGTCCCCATGTTTCTGATTCTGCAGCATCATCATGCTGTTCATCAAACAGACATTTGGGTTTGTTGCTAATTTCCAAATGTTGGTTTTAAGATAATAAACAGTGAACAGATGATCTTGGAGCTCTAAGGAACTTTCAACGTTGGAAAAGTTCAACATCAGTGACATAGTGACACATTTAAAAAAATAACTTTAGACCGCCTCGTTTTTAAAATATGTTCCCGTCTGTAAAGCTTCAAAATATTCAACTTTGAGTCTGCGTTGTTTTTACTTCAGTAGGTAACCTTGTCCTCCGTGTGGGACCCGTCTCTTCTTTTTCTCCTCCAATCTTTGTATCCAGCACTAAATTTGCAGCGCATCAAAACAGGGAGCCCTCCAGATGAACCCACCATATGTTTAAACTAATGACTGATTGCACCGAGTGTAAACATGGTTCAAGGGCATTGATTTTTTTTCGGGCCCGTTGCCTCTTTTGTCATTGATTCACTCCATCACTCCCTTCACTACTCCTTTTCTCATTGCGAGACGTGCCTGTGGCTATCATTTGTCCAATACTTTGGTGCTCCGATAGTGATTTCTGGGCCTGGTAATTGATGTACTTTGGCTGTACGGGCACCATTGTCGCCCCGGCCACAGAAACGACATAGAAACATGTCAGGCTGTAAAATTAGGAATGATTGCCACACAGGTTGTCTCTCCCATTGACTCTGTAAACTTGTTAAGTGCTAAGGGCTTCATGAAATGCTGCTCTGGAAACCAATACAGAAAACATTTACTCTTGATTCTCAACCTTTCGCCTCAGTCCAGAACTGTAATATCCCATGTTAGTCTAAAATAGATGGATGAGTGGAATCGAAAACATGTAATTCAAACCTAAATGTATTACTTCATCACATGAAATATAAAGAAATATTCTTTAAAAACATAAAAGATTGTGCACACTAAAGTGTTACATTTGCACCATAAGTATAGCTACTAATTAAAACTCCTTGAATTACTATCAATAATTGCCTCTAATGTTCTATAAACTAATATGTCTGGGATGGAGTCAAAGGCCGTTTCTATTGGAAACATAATCAACATTTCTCTTGTTGATAAAGATGCTGAAAAAAAACTTGAATGTATTGCAGCTCAGATTCTCACTGCTGAAGATGCATCTGAATCGATGATGCATTACAGGAATATAATAAACCATTCAAGGTTCCTGGAGTGTCTGTAGAAACATTTAGTTTGCTAAGCTTTGCTTTTATTTAGAGAAAAACACGCAGTGAGAGACAAAAGGTAAAAAGCAGTGCAAGCACACCTTGACCTTTGTGGAGTTTGTAGAAGCAGAAACAACCTTGGAGCACCAGTTTAAAACCAGCGGTCAACACGGACGTCTCATAATGGCTGTGTGATATTTAGACACAGGAATGATTAACAGAGTCAAACTTTGGGGCTGTTTGCTGATTAGTACGTTTAGGTTATGATCAGATCAATCCATATAGGCAGAGCAGAACTTTGTCACTTCGAATAATCAACCAGTTCCCTCACTGGAAACCATTATGCTGCCAATGGTGTTGTGTGACTCTTCAATATCATTGAATTCAGGTCACTGCCATGGCCACATGTCTAAAAAACATAAAAAATGTAGGCCAGGTGTGACGACTGCCTTTAAGGAACGGGTCTGTGTCAGAGACTCGGTAATTTGAGCATGGCTCCCTGATCAGGAGTCTGAGCAGAAAGTCCAGTGTTGAGCTCTTTGCTGATTCTGCTGTTCTAACAAACAGATCCTGGTCAGCTGAGGCATGTGGAGCACAGAGATCACCAACCATCTTCATGTGGCCTCCAGAATAACTCGGTGTTGATGTCTGGAGCTTCATGGAGCCGTTACATAAACTAGAAAGAATCATCTGACATCTTTACTCTGTTGAATGCATAAAACGCTGCCTCACAAGTTACAGAAATGAATGTTTTTACTATCATTGCATTTGATAGTCTCTCTTTCCAGATCTAAATCAGATCAAATATTGAAATCTTTGACTGATTTTATTCTTTGAAACAATTTGTGGTTCCCATACTTGTGAAGTAGTTTTCCCTAAATGTTACTAAAATCTCTGCCCATCTTGTTGCCGTGGACAACATGGTGGATATTCTCGCCTCCTGAGTCGAATCGATCATCACAGCTCTTCTGCTTTTTTATTTTGGGACAAACAATCCTCATTTTCAGTTTCTGATTTTGGGAATCTGACAGTTTGATTCTTAATGTAGCGAATCAAATTGGATAATATGACTGCTGTGACTGAAATTAATTAGACTGTCATCAGACTTGAATGTGGCCTGTTTTCTATGTTTCTGTGTAAATGTAGTTTATTGGACTGAAAGATGAAAATAGTTCACATTCCTCTTATGAAACATAAGCTTGTTTGAAATGCTTTGAAACAGTTTCAGTCACACTTCAGGGATGTTTTCCAGTCTCAAAGTTTCCTTGAATTTCTTCCTAAAAGAGAAGAAATTCTGTATTATAATTTATTTAGACTGTTTATCTGTTTTTTATGTCTGTTATTTGCTCTCAGTAAGTAAACTATTAAATTGTTTTTCACATTAAAGTTAAAAGTTTGGTGTTTGGTGTCCAGAAACCAGAACAGGTTTTCCAGTTTTCCTGCCTAAACTCAGCAACCTGTCCGAAACCAAACCTAATCATTTTCTGTCATTTAGTATAATCATTATTTCTGGTTACAGCCTCATGTGGCCCTTTTATGACGGTGTGTGACTAACATGCAGCGGGTAAAACAAGGGTGTGATATATTCAGATGTATTTGTAAAAGATGCTAATGGCATTAATTCTTACCAGATGTTAATAACACATGCAGTCTCCACATTCAGTGAAAGAAAACTTTAGTTGTACATGAATTAAATTATGTTATAAAATAGGATGACATAGAAAAAAATGAGTATATTTCCTGAAATGTATCTAACACTTTGTACTTTGTGATTCACCATCTTTAGTTCATAATTAGAAATATATGTTATTGTGTCACTTTGGGTTAAAAAACTTATTGAAAGATAATCGACATCCAGTAATTATCTAACAGGAGGCTCATGTCTGTTTTTATAGTTCGATATGTTTATAAATTATTCCATGCAGATCTCAGTCCTACCCAGAACTTTGTTCAAATTCAGCCTGTGAGTTGTAAAAATATCAACTATTATTTAAACTTGATCAGTTGGCTTCTGATTTTCTGACCAAATATTATTTGATTTGCTTGTGTTATTGGTACCACGTCCATCTCATGTTTAGTTTATTTCAATTCAGAAAGCACATTTTAATCTGTTTGAATGAATCGGTGTCATCCAGTCAAATCCCGTTTGCTTTCTGATGACAAACTGCACCTGTGTTGTTCATGGTTGAGTACGCTGCCCCCTGTGGAGCTCCACAGTATTGGCCCAATGGGTCGATCAGTGTTTGCCTGACTGACATGTTGTTGTCTGTTATGGATTCGTTTATCTGCCCCCCTTTCATTCTTTGTACTGGCCTTACATGTGCAGGCCTTGTAATAAAATACTTCTACGTCCACCAGGTGGCAGACTTCCCAGAGGATCAGCTCTTGGTTGCCGTTTTTCCAGGAGTTCCAACAGCTGCAGAACTTTTCCTGTTACCCAACAAGAACCAGTCTGAGGGCAAGAAAAAGAGTGATGAAGAGCTAGAGAAGGTTGGCCTAATCTACCCTTTTAGAAATGAATGGAAACCAGTCGGATTTAGGCTTCAGCGTGTAAATGTCTTCTCCACCCAACAGGCGTCCAGCATCATCGTAAGCGCACTGAACCAAAACCTTGTGGAGTTTGAGCTGAAGCCTGGCGTCAGAGTCATCGTCTACAACACACAGCTGACGCTGGGTAAGGGAGGTTTCCTCTTCCTGCTTCCTATCCCGTCATTAAGCTGTCAGCAGTAATGTTATCCTCTGACAGGCGTTAATTCATTTTAGCAATTTCTGTTGTGGGAGTGTGGAGAAAACCGAATGGTAATAACCGTGTTTTGACAACAAGAAATTTTTCTTTGGTCTGCCAATTAAAATTCCTTTCAGTCGGCTTCCATCGGAAAGGCGCGGGAACACAGGGGAGCGTGGGAGGGGCCGGGTTTTAAGTGGAGCTCCTTGAGACGAGGGATCTTTTATGCCTGCCATCAAAAGCTGAACATCTGTTCCGTTTCTTATACAGCCATCCAACCACAAAATGAGTGTTACACTGAGTATAATTATGTTGATTATTTAGTCCTTGAGAAGGAACAGTGTACAATTTGAGGGCAGAGATGGAATTAGGGATTGAGAAGTTGTTAACTGCTTGGAAGGAGAAAGCTGGTTGACAGTTTTGACCCTTGAGTGCAGTCTGTGTGAAGTCTGTGTGATTCATGGAGACAAAGAGACTTTAAACGGCGCGGCTGGACTAGAAAGCTCTACTTTTTATTGACCTAAAGCCTGGTGGTCCTCTGAGTCTCCTGGCCCATTCTACTAGACAAACACACATTGTATTCTTTGCCTGGCTGGTTTTATTAGCCACACTATTTCTGACTCTGCAGCTCAAAGTGCACAGCTTTAACAGCCAGATACTCCTGCAGTGTGCTGCAACTCTAATGACATTGGTGCTGTACCCAGCTGGATCCTTCTTTATATTTCACCTCCCAAGAAAAGGTCTGAAAAGCCTTCAAGCGGCGCGACAAAGGTCGCCAGCACGCACACTTCCATCTCCGAGTCGCAGGTCTCAGGAGAACTCTGGGAGCCGTGGAAATGGCGTTATTTCCCCGTGAATGACAGAGGAGACAAACATTCCTGCAGACATAGAAACAATGAGAGGAATTTAATGAGGGCGCCTTGTGAGATAAACCATGCACAGTGATATTAATATTCTAAAGTGCAAATGGGTTCCTGTATGAAATAACTGTGCATGAAAGCATTTCAAATCCAGCTGAAAAGTGTGAATTTCCTGCTGTTGTCACCTGCTCAGAAACAATTTCATGCTGCTACACCTTCAGATGTTCCAGATATTAAAATAAATCCTAGCGACTTAATGGCTTATTGCCATGCAAATTAGCTGAGGACACATGCGAAGAGAGAATGTTTTAAGGAAAACCTTTCATCCAATTAAGTTACATCATTAAAGAGCGGTAAACAGAGAAGAAGAAATGCTCCTGTGCTGTTTTTTCTTTGAAGCACCACCACCTTTCTCGCTGGACACTGTATTATGTTCCATTTAACTGTTTATTACCGTCTGGATAAACCCAAAAATCCCTCTGATAAATCATCAGGCCAACAGAAAGTCATTAATTCAAAGCAACATGTCTTGGTTGGATTCCCACCAACGTTTAGTCGCTTTAATCAAACTCCAGTCTGATTGTGTAGACAGTCCGGTTCGTTTGGGGCGGTGTGAACGTTTAATCGAACTCTGATGCCGACCAAAACACTGAACTCTGGTTCGCCTGAAAACCTCCATCTCAGCTTGGTTGAACTGAAGTTTGGTGCGGCTTGACTGCATGTGAACGCCAAGCGAACCAGAGTCTGTCGTCTACAGCAGGAAACTGTAAGGTGTGAAAACAACCTTAGATGCTTAAACTGTTGTTTCTCTGCATCAGTTAAGTTGCAAAGCTTTAGCTGCAAAATGAAAAGTCAGATGTAGACAGAGTCACACCAAACTCAGCCTTGCTCTGTTTTTACAGCAGATCTCTAAAGGAGTTTTCTTTTACTTCACACAAATACTGAAGAATGAAGGGCGATGAGTGGATGAGCTGAATATTTCAGAACCAATATCATTTTTATGTCCTATTTAAGCCTGTATGGAAAGCTCCATGTCTACGAAGAAATAAACCAATCATAGAGAACACAGGCAGCAGATGAGATTATTTATTTTCCAGATCTGAGCAGAAACAGTAAGATGACTGATGGAGAACCTCTACTGCCTGGCTGGACCAGAAGTTTACATCCTTTAACTATATAATGAATTTCATATTAGTTTTTGTCAGTTAATGATGTATTTCTACATCTGTTCCTCCTCTGGGTTAATTATGTCATTTAAACAAGAAATAATTGTTTGCAGTTTGGATTCACTCTGTATTTTCTGTAATCCACATATTATCCAAGGTCCTCAAGTTAAATACAGAAATTTTCCCAAATCTTTTAAACTTATCCTGAACTTAAAGGCGCCAACATGAAACGTATTCCATGAAAATGATCCCAATATAATTATTACAGAACACACATACATCTGGGGCAGGTTTGATTTTTATTATTTTATTCTTTATTTGGATCCTTTCTTTAAAACCATTATTATTGTTGTTGTGACCACATGTAGGTCTTAGATTCCATGTATCAGGTAGTGGTGAATATGAGGTGAGATGAAGATGACTCCTCCTCCTCAGCTCGTCCCTGTCTGTGTCCACAGCGCCGCTGGTGGACTCCAGTCCCAGACACAGCAGCTCTGCGATGCTCATGCTCCTCTCGGTGGTGTTCCTGGGCCTCGCCGTCTTCCTCATCTACAAGTTTAAGAGGTTCACCACTTTCTGATGACATCCACCTGCTGCAGGCTCACATCCAGCTCCCACATACGACTCTTACTCCGTTACTGATGGAAGCAGATTAGCACGGCCTCTACCAATCAGCTGCAGTCAGATTTGATGCTTTGAATCTGAATAATTCAGTCAAATGCTGCCTTTACTTTTTACTGGCTACAATGCATCAGGCAATCAGCCATAAATTGCAGAAAAAATATCTCTTAAGTGGTTTGATATGCAGAGTTTGTGCTTTTATTTGCTGAATAAATTATTTCTTCCTCAAAGTGATTATTTTGAAAACTCAGTGGGAATATGAAAACACTGGCATACTCTGCCATTGATTATGAATCTGTAATTTCTCCTGTCAGTCAGAGGAAATACATTTTTTAGGGGATCATACAGTCGACAAACCAGAACAATTAATAACTGGAATGAAGATTAATTAGAAATAAATTGGATAGAGTTTGAATAAAAATATATTAGATGTGAATTATGCAGAGTTTCAATGTTATTTTCATATAAATAAGTTGCAGAAATGTAATTACATTGAAGATGATTTTAACCTTGGAATACAAATATTTGCTTTGGCAGACAAAGTTGCACTCTTTGAAATGAGCTTCTGCATAAACAGATGATTGGATGTCACAGTAATCACTTCTGATGCAACAGAATCGGCTCAGTGGCCGACTGACTGGGTCTTCCCTTTCTAATCCGTAGAAAAATACCTTGGATCAACATATACGCTGAGGTGAACCAGGAGAAGGAGCAGGAGATGATTGGCTCGGTCGGTCAGGGCGACAGCACGCCGAAAATCACTCTGAGCGAGTTCACAGCGTCCAAAGAGCTCATGGAGAAGGAACTGGATGCCCGGGTCAAGAGTAAGTCAAAGTCAAACGATGGGAGCAGTCGCCGTTCTGTCTGGAGAAGCTGCTTCCAGCTGCCAGTCTGCAGGGCGGATGTGATTCATCTCAGTCCACACAGACATGGAGCCATCTCCTCCTTTTATCCATTCAGAGAAAAAGAAATAAAACAGGCTTACAAAATAAGCATATAGTTTAATGCAGGGGTCACCAACTCCAGTCCTCCAGGGCTCCCATCCTGTAACTTTAATAAACTGCTCGTTTCCAGCCTATTGCAGAGGAATGAATGCTGGTGAGGGAATCCAGACATTTTGGAGCAGGATGGCAGCCCTGGAGGAGTCGGTGACCCCTGCTTTAATGTAAACCTTTGCTTGAAACTGGGTTATAAATGATTTGGTTTTTAGTGAAATTGTGTCACATCAGTGAGATATGACATCATGACCTGACACTTCAGTAGCAGACGTTGGTGGGCTCTAATGCTAGCTGATAGGTTAGTTGTGCCAAACATAAACATTAGCTCCACTGATGCTAAAGCTCCACATTAACATGATATTTAGTGGAAACTAATGCTGTTTTTAAAAGCTAAAGTCATTTAATTATAAATGTCTTTGGAAGATGGATAAACTAACACCTGAAGTTATTCTGGGGTTAAAAGGGAAAACATTTAACTTGATTTATTCTTAACCGTCGACAATTAAAACTTCAACACAGATGTTGAACTTTATTCAATACGAGAACAAAGACCAGGATCATACTGGTTCAGATGGGAAGAGGTCAGAACACAAAACTCATCCCAGTTTGTTGCTCAGGAGCTGGAAACCAGTCAGTGACCCGTCCCACTGGGCGGGTGGCCCAGTCTGCAGGGATGAATCCGCTTTAGCTTTTCTGTTTGGTTGTAAAAGACATTTTGTTACTTTTCACTGTTTTGCAGATTACATTCAGATCTCACATGCCTTAAAACGAAAGGACAAATCATGAAATCTTTTATTAAATGGTCTGCATTCCATCAAGGTTCAGATAAATTTAAACATTTTTTCTCACGACTGAAATAACCTGATGAGGGACATCAGACTTCAGAAAACCCCGACAGTTTTATTGGGCTTCTGGAGTCATAAATCAACGCGATCTTAATAATAATTCCTTGATGTAGTTTTGTTTTATGTTCCTTAACAAATTTGTTCAGTTGTCAAAATACGACTCTTAAGATTCACAACCAGCTGTTATAAACACCTCCCTCTGTGTTCTTTAGTTATCAACAAAAGACTGGAAACGGTTATAATGAAGTGTGTGATTATTTAAGACCTTTTTCTATAGTTATTATAGTCGGTGGGCATTTTGTGTTCCCATGTCATCCCACCCACAGAGCCTCCTGATTAGCAGTGAATTACGAGGCATTGATGCCAAAAGAGCCATTTGTTCTGGAAAAGTGAAAGAAGTGAGGTGACTGAAGTGAACGTGTCGGTTCTTTCTGATTTTGTGTTTTCTGCTCAGGAGGAGTCGGAAACGCCTGCGAGAGCACGAGGGAGATTCCAAACTGTACCAGCGTGTAGAAGCTGAAGTTCGTGTACAGAGCGAGTGTCACAGTGTCCGGGGTTCTTCTCCATTTCTGTTTTGTAATTCTAAACACAACTGATGTTAATAGTTTTTCTAAAAGGCCTCATTTATACAGACTTGCATGGATGTCTCGTTGGGCAACATCCAATGCAGCGATGGGATCTCTGCAACGCCGACGAGACTTTTGGGTTTCCGTGGATGTAAACGCTCCGCTCATTTGCTGAGGGAATTATCTTTTGTGGATGAGTTCTGTACGTTTCCTGAGATGTTTGCTTTGAAAATAATTTCTGCCTAAATGTAGACTATATTGTCAGAGTCTTCAATCAAACAGGGAATATTACTGAAATGTATAGTATTATTTTTCGTTCTGTTCCATGTAAATATCCTTTCTACATGCTCGTAGTCTCATGGCGACGCCGTGAGATCTGACGGCGGTCTGTTTTTGAAGGTGTTTAAAACGTCAGACATCGCTTACAGAGAAACATTTTGCTTTGCTGACGTCCTTGACTTGTGCATGTTCCTACTGAGGACACGGTTTCTGTGTTGTAGATAAGCAAGTGTTGTAAATAGTTCTTTTCTAAACATTCGTCAAAGCCCAGTCGGTTCTGGCCAGGTTCTGTTCTGCTGTCATCCTCTTCGGTTGCTGTTGAAACGGGTCGATCTGCTAATGTTCAGCTGCCGTTAACAGATTTACTCTGCAAGCAAAACAAGGCGGATCAACATGAGGAGGATTGTGTATAATATATTTATATTTTCAGTAGAAATATACTCCAGATAACCAGACATTTTAACTAGATGAGTGTCTTTGAACCAAACATTAAGAGCTTCTGGCATCACTGGGTTCCATTTGGCCTCTGATTGTCCTGCTTTGTGGGGACCAGGTCTGCAGTTCACAGCATTTTAGAGCAAAAAATGGTGACATTTTCATAATGTACAGAAAATACTTTGTTCTAACTCAAAAAATAATGGCTGAAGAAAGTCATGACCCAGACTGTCAAACATTTCTGTTGTGCCAATTTAACAGATGGACAGTAACAATGTGTTTCGATGAAGCTTTATGATCCGTATGAGAGGAAAAACTGAGGGTGTCAAAACGGCAAAGACAAAATGTAGAGATTAAAGTTTCTCTATAAAGATTAAAGTGCATCTAATAAACCAACACTAACAATGTTTTATGTAAAGGAGCTCATAAAATATAATCAGGATTTAACACATTCATTCTGTCTGATGGGGTCAGTTGTTCTATTGATTTTGTTTCTGTTTTTTGTAAAACAGTAAAATCTGTCCTCTCTAAAACAATCAGTTATGTGAACATGCAGCAGAGAAATCACTTAAGGCATGAAGTAACGAAACTGTTTCTCCTGTTTTTTCCTCTTTTTTTCATCAAATTCTTCCTGCAACAAAACATTTTAACTCTGATTTTTGTGCCACTTGTGACATTATTGACCCAAATACACTTAAACCAGAATTAGACATTTTTTGAATGCACCTTAAGAAACTCCGTATTGTTGTGAAATCTTTCAGTGGACGTTTACACGGTGAGCCTCCGTCTGCTCAGGGTTCAGATTTTTCTCTGGAACTTAAATCCAGAGGACTTACAGTATGTAAGACATTTGGTGGATGTTTTTGTAGAGCATATGTAAATAATTTGATGGAAAATTCAACTTGAGAAGCTGGAATAACATTGCGTAACGCTGCTTGGCTGCAGCTGGTGTTGGCAAAGCAGCCGGTCCAGGAGCGCTACCCGTTTTCCTTTGGACCGATCGGCAGAGCCCCCACAGGAAGACTGTGGATGTTAGTGCAGGACTGTTTCTGCTGCATATTAATCCATGTTTGGTGTCTGAACTACTAGAACACCAGCTGTGGTACCAAACCCTCTCTGGTACCAGGGATCCACTGAACCTCATTACCCAGGTTTCTTCTTTGGTTTTTAAGGTGTGCACCCTTAAGAAACGGAGCCATGCGACAGCTCCAGCTGTGTTTTTGTTTTTAGTGGAAGGTCAGAAGATTTAGATCATTTCAGAACCAGATTCAGATCAAGTCACTTTTATTTCCTGATTGAAGAGGGTGAACTTTTTTCCCTCAGCTAAACTCTGCCAGGTTTCTTTACCAAAAAATGATCTGACAGTCTGGCACAGCAGAGCAGTTGATGTATTAATGCAGCTGAACCTGCTAATATAATTTGAAATAAGGCGGAGTTGCTCCCTCCATGTTGCACTGTGACTGTAATGATAGAAAGCTGGATGGCTAAGCCGAAGATCCCAGCATGCACTGCTTCCCCAGAAGCTCATGTAAACATTTGAAAAGCAGAGAGTCCTCAGCAGCAGAGACTGTCACACACGTGCATTAACCCAGCAGAGGACTGATGCTTGTTACTGCAGACAGAACTGAACTGAACAAAGATTATTTCCAGCCTTATTGAATTCACATCGTGTCAGAGCTGAGGCTTGTTTGGATTCTTTTTTATTGCAGCTTTCATCTGGTCCGACTTCTTTCATCAAAATGAGATCAGGAGAAAAGCACACCAAAGGAAACTTTGGGAAACAGGAAGTAAAGTTAGTGTGGATGATGGTGTAAAAAATGCAGGGAATAGCCACTAGTGCAAAGACTTATGGGATAATTTATGATGCTAATGTGTTGAACTGCAGCATTTAATGAAGTTATGTTTGTCCAGTCTGTTTGGCTGGTGGGTGTGGCCAATGCTGCTACACCAGGAACGGGAGACGCCTGTTACAAGTGGCATCTGTTCAATGTTGTTTAAGTTGTGCAGCATTAAATAAACCTGCAGTAAAACCTGGAGCCTCGGACTCTTGGAAAAGTTTTAAACTTTTCATGTTGGTGTCAGATGTGGGATCGACTAAATGTTGGTGAAGATGGAGAATCTGAACAAACAACTGAGCATTTGGAAGCAGGCGAAACGGGCCCACAAGTCGCTGCTGCTCCCTCATTTCTTTTCTCTCAAGGCTGGTCAATTTGTCAGGTTTTCCTCTGAAACCGAGGAAAACTGAATGTTCCAGACATTGTTTGGAAAACAGCATAACTCCATTAAAACTGATTGTAAAGAAGAAAAATATAAAGTGCCAAAAAAGAATCTTAAAAGGTTTAAAATGGAAGAAAAGGGAGAAACCAGACCAACTGAGAGAAAAGTCAACCAATGGTCAGTTCAGCTGTTTGAGTACTTTAAAAATGAAAAGATCCTGAAGACAAATGATCAGCACAGGTGTGATGGTATGAGGAAGTTTCTCCTGCTATGATGATCTTATTTATCACACACCAGAGGTTAGGAAAGGCCTTTGACTTGGAAAAGCTCCATACAGCTATTGTTGCTGTTGTAACACCACAATAAGACAAACTGCAGTAAATGTCCAGTGTTTTGGTCCAGACTAATCCCTGGACCTTAACTCAGTTTTTAACAGTCTGATCATCCTGGGCTCAGACGCCCGGCACAGGTACCAGCATTTGGGTCCATTTAAAGTCACAGTAATTGATCACAAGGAAGTTAAATCTTCAAAAACTTTACAGTTTATACAGTAGAAGTTCCATGTTTGTAAGGAAACTGCTAATTTTTTAACCATTTATTATTTTTTGTCTCAGTTTGGGTAGAAAAAATCAAACTGGATCATTTTTTCTGTATATTCAGCAGCAGGATGTGAAACATGCCCAGTGCCTGAGAGGGTATGGAAATAAATCCGTTCTAAGGGTTTTAATCTTCACTTTGAGTTTGAACAGAACCGTACATTAAGAAAGTCACCAGTGAAAATATCTCATTTCCCCCATCTAACAACCTAAATGCCTCTTTATGCTGTGAACGACTGATCCCCAGACGAGGCAAATGGTACCTTAAGCGATTTGTTGCAATTGTGTTTTGTTTTTCCAGGAGGCGAAAGCATTGTAATGTTCTTCAGTGCACAAAAAAAGCTATGATGCATGCATCATCGGTAATGTCCTGTTCCATCCTTATTTTAATATTTCTACGGTAAGGAAACTGTCATTTTGAAATTGTTTCAAATAAATGTATTTTTGTACATCAGCTCGATCCTTCTGTGTGTGGTCTCTGTTCTGTGTTGAAAGGACGACATTGTTGAGGTGAAACCCGTTTCCCGGTGGACCGAGTGGAACAGAACCAGTACAAGGAGAGCCTGGAAAAGCAGCATCCTCTAATTATAGATGAAAACATGATGCACAGAGTCAAAGATTCAGACAGCCCTAAGAAAACGGATAATCACAGAACCGAAACTAAAATTAGAGACATAATTGAAGTGTTTGATAGTTTGGCTGGTTCTATTTTCATTTAAAGGTTCTGTTCGGTTCAGGCGAAGTCGTCTCAGATGCCTCCGAATGTAATTTTATTAAAATGACTGAACGGCCTTAATGATGGATATCATCTCACCTTCAAACCTGCAGAAACCATCAAAGCATCATCATTATTTAAACCATCTAAAATAACTAGAAAAGGCTATTTTTGGAAGGAAATTCAACCTTAATGGCATTAAAATGAAACTATTCATGGCAGCTAAAATCAACAAGAGTGCATTTATTTAAAAAAAAGCTTAGTAAACCTAAAATAACAGAAAAGAAGCTGCGAAGCTTCATTTTTATTCTCTGTCGTCTTGTTTTCACCTTTTGTCGTCTTTGTTTTGGTTGCATATCTGCATTCCTGCAGCTCATTAGCTGGTGAATTATCATAGCCTGAATATAGATGCACCGTTGGGTTTCTTTGTTCTCTGTCTGATGCCGTCACTTTGTTTTCTGTTTGGAAATTTGTCGTGCTTTGGATCCCCTCCTCTGCTGCTTTCCTGTTTCTTCCCTTTTGGGTTTTTTGGATTTCTGGTTTTGTTAATGCTCTTTATCTGCCAGCCTTATGCAGCTACACCTTCAATTAAAATTACTCAACCAAACAATGGAAGCTGTTGGCAGTAAACTCAAGTACAGCTAAATTATTTAGTCCTTTTTGATGAACATGAGCTCAACTTTCTGCTGTTGTGACTTACTGTGAACATGATGCAGAGCCAGACACCAGGTTCAGGAAACGTTCACTCTTCATGGCGCCTCCAGTCTCCTCCAAGGTCCCGACCAAAACCTGGACTTTGAGAAATGCTTTGGCTTGTTTGAAGGTCCAATGACGCCATTTTCTTCCAGGATTTCCTGGGTCTATTGAATCCATCCTGCTCTACAAATACTGCAGATTTCCAATCCCAGAAGAAGAAAAGCAGCATCACTGAGTCACCACCGTGCTTCAGCTGTTCTTTTCAGTCTTTTCTTGAGTCTTCCTCATCCAGACACACTGCTGACCCATAGTGGTGTACAGGCATTCAGTATGAGCCTTACTGTTGAAACTGAACCTCTGTGCCTCGGTCGTACTTGGACCTTCTGCAGTCACTTTGAATTTCCTCCTCAGGAATCTGGTTTCAGTCATTAGTTGTCTCTCCATCAAGGTTTCTTTTTTATGTGCATTTTGAAATATTGGATTAGAAAAGCTTGATGGAAATTTAAATAATTTCCTCAACTTTCCAGAAAAATTTAATTCTGACACATCAAACTTTACCTTCTGGTGAGTCTCTGCCTTACCAGAGGCACACAACATGTCCAAACCTCCGTCTCAGGAGGGAAAACTCTCCATTTTCCTGACGTGTGGTCCATGAAAGTTTGCATCTTGTTTGTTGTTAGCGCCCCGCGTAGCGTTGAATCAGCCTGTATGTAGCTTGGTTGATTTGCTGCCTCAATCTCTTTTTCTTTTTTTCTGCCATGCATTGAACTCTCCTCTAAACTTTATCAACAGGAACATTTAAGGCCTTTCTTTTGGTGTGTGTCATTTTCCTTGTTTGTCCGAGGCGACGCTCTCATCTCTTTTGAAAATTATCTTGACAGTTTATTTAACCAGAAATGAAACGTTAAGATGTTTCGTCTCAAGCACATAAAATGCAGTTAATGAAGCTCTTGACTGGTTATTCAAACCAAACCAGATTTGAAAATGTGGACTTGAATGAATATCTGGGAGACTAAAGTAGGATTTAATGTTATTATGGATTCAAATAGAAATCCTGTTTTTCCTGCAAATACTTGAAAACATATGAACACATCCAGCTCAGCCTAGAAGGATATTTCAGTTTCTCCAGGTTTTAATCTCATGACCTTAACAGGAACACGCCCCAAACTGATCCCAGTTCAGCAGGCAGTGATCAGAAGTGATGTGTTTGCTGAAGTAACATTTCCAGAGGACAGCTCTGTCATCTCACCTCCACCCACCCAGACATTTAGGATTACCTCAATGACAGTATGAACATTTTCTGTCACTTGATAAAAGCCTCCCTCAATTAAAGTTTTTTTTCTTCTGAAGTTTCTTCCTGTGGTGGCAGATGAAACTTGAGCATGAAATGGATTTATTGAAGTTATCAGTGCACAATGGCAAAGCTGGCACAAACAAAAGCCATTTGTCTTTATTCACCAGGGAACTCGGAGAGCAGCCTCATTATACTGTGGCTCGAATTAATCTCAGCCCCTTGTCTCTCCTTTTCACCTTGGCAGCTTGAAACAATGTATTGCAGGTCTCTTAGAATCCCAGACACATACTCCAACACTGAGTGCAGGTTACTGATAGACTCACACGTTGGGTGGAGGACGGAGTCTTAGTAAAAAGGCGGCGGGGAAAGCTTGATGTGCAAAACTAGGTAAACTCTGGATGCCAGAGTCTGCTCCGTTTGATTCCCACAACAGAGAAGTAAAATCAGGAAAGACGATGGATGTTCTGATTTAAATTCTGTCACTCACTGACTGAAACTGTGCAGTCAACCTCTGTGAACAAGGTGCAAACAATACTGAAAGAAGTAAATACATTTTTCCATTCCTCATCTTCCCCAAATAAAATGAAATTCAGACAAACTCTGCCACCCTTTTCTTTACTGATGTCTGTGAATGTCGATGTTTCTGCGACCTTAACATGACACGTTTAGATTTCTAAACTTTTTGGTTGAATCCTATTTCACTCCTGTCTTTACCTCCTCACAATGTTCCACTCCTCTGCATTCAAACCTTAAATGAGTTTTGTCCTGGTTGGTGCAGCAGAGCCGACCCTGCAAACGGAGGGCTGCAAGGAAGGTGAGATGTTTGGAACTAAACCAAAGAATCAACTACAAGATAATCCACCAGGAAATCCAGCTGTTAACATCGTTCATTTTGCTCTCATGATTCCAGATATAAGCCACTGCAATGAGTTGCCTTTAGAAACCAGCTGTGAGTTCAATGCACACCACACTTTTCAGATTATTTGCAATAAAAACAGGATGCACTGCCTTGTGTTGGTCAGTACAGTGAACTTTACAGCTTGAGTTTTACAAAGTTGAAGTTTGAGCCACAAGCAGATCCACTGTGTCATGTTAGGTAGTCATAGATAAAATGATGTTAGTAAAAGATGAAGAACTGAAAACTTTCAACGCTGGAGGTTGCTGAGGAAAAATACGGGATAAAATAAAGATTAACGGAAAGCAAGAGAAGGAGCCAGTGGAGAACAATGAAACTAAAATACTAAGTATATTCTAAGGAAGGAGTGGAAAATGACGGGGAACAGAGGAGCTAATCAGAAGAGAATACGGACAGCGGAGGGAAATGAGGAGATGGAAAACAGCTGGGCAAGGAAGCAGGCTGACAGGCTGAAGAAGGGATAAACAACCAAAACATGAGAGGCAGGAAAACCCTGAAACAGAAAGAAACTAATTTATAGAAGCAAGTTCAAATCCAGAATGAACTAACACAAGGGAAAACAGAAAATGGCAAAGTCTGAGCAACTAAACAATAAAGTTTAGATCCTGAGGTCTGAGCAGAGAGCCGACCTCAGGATCTGATCACTATGCAGCTTTTCCAGACATCCAGCAGGAGCAATCTCTAAATGCAAAGCCCAGCTTCACGAAGCTGTTAAGATCTCTTGATGCATAAAGTCACTCTGTGAAAATAAGGTTTTATTATTCATGATTTTGTGCTCAGAGATGGAAATCATAAATATGCATCATGGAGCCTGAGCTGCTGGAGAGCCGGACATTATCTTGATCTGTCCTCAGAGCTGTTTGTCTTCAATTCAGGAGCCAGAAGAGTTTGTGTGGTTCACACTGAACAGCACCAACAGTCTGACCAAAACCTTTGGGTGAAATGTCTAGCAAGCATCTGGCAGTGGGGCAGGAGAACAGCAGCGAGCCTGATGGAGTCCTCAGAAGGTTCTGACACTTCGTGTCTCCAGAACCCGGCCGAAGCTGCCTGATGCTCAGCCACTCCTGATTTGAATTTAGGGACCAGAAACAGGATGAAGACACCAAACTGCTGCACATCTTGAGTTTTGCTGGACAAACTGGGCGAACTAATAACACTTGACCACAAATACTGAGACGCTATTACTAAATGTAAGCTTAAGATGTTATAAAACCCAAAATGTTGGTCCATGTAAAAACTCTCAGAGTGAACTTATGTGAAGTTACTGAAGGTGGCAGAGGCCAATTAGAGGGTTCAGTGTGGCTACAGAGACAGATAAGGCAGATGTATCAGACTCTAACATCAACATGATAGCAGATTCTTGATAATAATTTAGATATTTGGATTAGCACAAGCCATTAAAATAACCCATTAAAAGATAAGTACGAGGGATTCTGAAGTATTTACTGAGTTTGATTGGTTTTAAGAGGCCTAAATGGATTGAAACTTATTAAAGTTTTTAATCATAAAGTACTTCATAAAGAAGATTATCACACTGTTCACCCTGATTATCACACACTTCACACCCGGCTGCAGGCAGCTGGATATCAGCCATGCCTTTATGTTTGAGTGACGTCTAAAATATGATGTATTCAGTCGGCATAGAAATGAGGACGATGCAGCGAGTGAAGCTGTCACAAGGTGTCTCTCCTCAGCAAAAAGTCGTCGCAGACGTGTTGCCACATCCTGACACTTCCAAGACTCTTTGTTGGATTCTGATCCCCCAGATGTATTGCGACAGCATCTGTGCTTTCATTTTCAATTTTACCGTGTGTAACGCCCCATATGGAGCCT